TCTGGAACGAGGAGGAAAGCAGTGTCTGGGAGGCACCTACAACCTGTCTGAGGCACGGTCTTATTTTACTTAATCTTCGTGACATTTCTATGGGGTCGGTAATGTGCCTCTTTTGTAGATGAGAACACTGAGGCCCAAACAGATGGAGTCTCTTGCCCAAGGTCACACAGTAATTGGCAAAGCCAGACTGATGCATAGGGCTGGCTGATCCCACTATGCTGCTTCCACTAGATGGGCTTTCCATCACCAGTCTTTTGATACTTTAAGCTGGATTTCTATTTACATATGATCTGCTTGATGTAATCGAAAATTTTTTATTAAAATGGAGGGCCTGAGGCACCTGGCTGGTTCAGTCAGTAGAGCATACAACTCCTGATCTTGGGGTTCATGGATTCAAGCCCCATGTTGGGCATAGAGCTTACTTAAAAATTGATCTGTGTCTGACATTTAGCACACAGACTTTTTACACAAAACAAAAGGCACATAGTCCTACAGAAATGATAACTACCATATTAGTATTCATATTGTAATTTTACTACTATTGATTTAAAGCTTAACAGAAATTTACCTATTGGACAAAAGTTACTGCTAACATGAAAATGTCTTAACATGAGCTTCTGTGAGCCTTTTTTTCAAACTCCTGACTCAGGATATTTTACGTTTAGGGCAGACTTTTTTTTTTTTTTTTTTTGAGAGAAGGGGCGAGAGAGTGCGCAAGCCGGGGAGGTGGGGGAAGGCAGAGGGAGAGAGAGAATCTTAAGCAGGTTCCATGCCCGGCTTGGAGCCTGATGCGGGACTCGATCCCACAACCCTGAGATCATGACCTGAGCTAAAACCAAGAGTTGGACACTTAACCGACTGAGCCACCCAGGCACCCCTTGTTTGATTTTTGCTACCCTTATTTGTTAAGCATTGAGGTGAATTATTATCCTCACTTTCAGACTAAAATAAGCCTAAATTCTTAAGAATTGAAAGAAAACTCTTGGTCTTACTTTTGTAAACAGCAAGCTTAGAGGAATGACCCCGAAAAAAATCCCCCTTGCCTTTTGTAAACAGCAGATGTCAAGGAATGACCTCTAAAAGAAGCAGGAATGTCACTGTGATAGTTTATCTAGCTTTCAAATTCTTTGCACATAATTAAGCAACAAACACTTGTTGGCTATAATATATATATATATATTGTATATATGTAACATATATACACACTATCTAAAATCTTTGTCACTTAAAATGCACAGTAGGAGAGCTTTTATTTTTATTTTTTTTAAAGATTTTTTATTTTAATTTGAGAGAACACGTGAGAGCACATGAGCAGTGGGGAGGGGCAGAGGGAAAGAAGCAGGCTCCACACTGAGCAAGGAGCCCGATGAGGGACTCGATCCTGGGACCCTGGGATCATGACCTGGGCTGAAGGCAGATGCTTGACTGAGCCACCCAGGTGCCCCAGAGCTTTTAAATTAAAGTTCATTAAATCATATTTTCAACACAAAATGTAGGAACTTGAACATGTTTAGGTGACATTAGCAAGACCGTGTAGCCTTTTTCTTTTTTTTTTTTGTTACATGAGTCTGAAAAGTACTACTATATCAAATATGACATGCAGAAGGAGGGAAAAATTTGAGCAGGGGTCAAGTCAGGGAACTAATAACTTCCTTGGTCTTAGAGTATGGGTTTATCATTTATTTTGAATTTTAGTATCCATAGATTAGTATCTTAATATCCAGTAGATCATTTAAAATACGGATTTGAAGATTCTCCAAAAGAATAGTTTGGCTTTTGGTTTTAGTTCATAGTATTTTTATCCTTGTTGAATGAAAAGTTAAACTGAAGCTGCTTTAGGCTAAATTGGAGTTAAAAACAAAACTCCACATTTTAAAATTCTCCCTCTCATAGATAATCCTAGTATGATTAAATGGCTTCTGGACAAATTTTATCTATAATCTTAGTGTTTGAAGTATAAAAGCACTCATTAACAAAAACACAGGGAAGTATTTAAATTGATCCTGATCCCATGTGTATTTTTAATCTCTGTCCCCTGTGTTACCTTGGAGTCTATGAAATCAGCATATTTTCACTTCTGGAGGCAGTACTGGAGTAGAAAGCAGCATATAGAGGAATAGGTTTGCAGGGATGAGTAGAAAAGAATGAGGGACCCAAATTTTTGGTTCACTCCGTCTTGTCCGCTGAGAGAGAAAGCTAGAAGCCATTCTTGATAGGGCCCTCCCCCCTGCCAGGCCCCATCCATCCCCACCTGCTGTCAGTTTCACCTCAAACTATTTTGAATCCATCCACCTCTCCCATCTCCACTACTACATCATCATATTCTCTTGCCTGGGCCCCTGCCAAGGCCTGACCCACCCTTTCTACCCCTTCTCCCCACCCTTTTCACCACTGGAAGTGGTGATCAATTTAGGCTCATCACTGTGCCTTTAGTGGCAAGCAGAGAGTCTTGCTAAATGAATGGATATTGTGTTATTAAGGTATGATCATGTCTCTGTTTAAAATCCTTCTCAGATTTCCACTGTACTCAGAATAAAATCCAAAACGCTGCTTCCTCTTGGGCCCCTTCCCCGTTCTCACTTCCATCCACACTGGCTTCCTTGCTGTTCTCCAAGCACATTCAGCAATACCCTGCCTGAAGGCTGGAGGCAGGTGGTTTCTCGGGCTTGGAAGGTTTCAGCCCCTACTCTGTCGGACCAATGTCTGCTCATCTGTCAGATTTCAGTGTGTCACTTCCTCGGGGAGACCTTCCCTGACCATCTAATTGCAATCAAGCCATGCTGTCCTATCTGCTCACAGCACTCTACACTTTGGACTCAGCTCATAATTATATTTACATCAGGAACTGTGTCCACTTGGTCACACTGCAGCCGTAGCTCCCGGCCCAGGACCGTGGGTGTGCTCTTTGACCTCACAGACCTATTGGTGGAAGGCCATATTACAGGGTGGCTGAGACACGTCACCTGCAGTGCAAGGGATGGCATTGTTGGGACACAGAACACAGTGTAGGTTAGAGGGAAGGGATCCTGTCTTAATGCCTTGGGGTTTGGGCCTTTGAGTCTGTACATTTCTTAGAGTCACCAACATTGAATGATAGGATTTTAGAATTGAAATGGGCTGAGGAGGTTGAGTTATTAAACTGCCTCCATTTAGAAATAAGGCTCAAGCATGGTGGTTGGTGACTTTTTCCAAGGTCACACTAAGCTAGTGAAGCAAAGCTGGAATCTGACCACACCTTCTGGATTATAGACCAGTAGACTCTTCATTGCTTTATGCTTCAGTGTGTATCTTTAATAGGCAGAGAGTGAAACTCGGAGTTAGCAGATTTTCAGCATTGAAGTCATTATTGTTCTGTGATCTTTTTTAAAGACAAATTTTACCATTTATCATTCAGAGGGCCACATAATCCTGTTTGGCTGCTACGGCAAAGTCACTGAGTCAAGGGCCAGATCCTGTCGGGCCTTTGCAAATACACTAAGTTGTACCAGCCAGTTGTTTACATCTGCTCATGAAAGGGAAATGCATGAGGTGATTCTAAAAGCCTGGTAGCCCATTTCTCGTGGACTTTAGGATACTTTTTACACTGTGTATTTAAATATGGGTGTGGCTGATTTGGGGCACATTCATTTCAAGCCAAATGACACGAGTCACACTCAAGAGCTAGGAAGGGCCCTGGCTGGGAGGCTGCCCTAGTTTCCTGAGTGTGACCTGGCTGAATTCCCTGCCTCTCTGTCAGGGAACAGGCACTTGCCCTCGCCTGCCTTCCCCCGCCTGCTTCTCAGCTCCAGCTGGGAGCAGTGAGTGTTCAGGTCTTATGGGTCTCTAAGGGTTTCCAGGGGAAAGCAAACAGAATAAAGAGGAAGTGTGAACCACAGGGCACCCAGCTCTTTCTGGTCCCTGCATCTCAAGGAGAGGGACCCTCCCCTTTATTCCTCTGTTTTGTTAATGTTTCTCATGTAACCGTGTCACTTCCTCTAAAGAGAAACCGCTTCAAATGCCAGCCTTTCATTTGTCACACTGGGCCACACTGGTGGGGTGGAGTGCACACAGACCTGGGCCCCACACTAGCTAGCGCTGCCACTTGCTGTGTATCATGCTGCAAGTTACAGAACCTCTGTGACCCTCAGTTTCTCTTCCAGTAAAAACGGGACTGTTGTGATCATTGAAATTAAGGTTATACTCATAGTAGCTGCTCAGTAAATGAGAATTGATGTATTTAGTTGAAAGACCTTGGGTACCTTCACATTCAGCCCTGTTTCCTTATCAAGAATTTGAGGAAGTTGATCCCAAAGGTCCCTCAAAGCCCTTTTCAGTATTGACAGTTCTGTGGGTCCTCTCTCCAAAGCCCACTTTAACACCGGAGATCTAGCCTCTCTCCCACACACCCCTCCTGTTTCCCCTTCGTAGAGGTCGAACCCCACCCTCAGCCCCACCCCACCAACACCGTCTCGTCCTCCCACTCCTTATGCCCCTGTGGAAGCTGCCGACTGCCAAGTTCCCAGCACTTTAATCCGTGCCCATCGCCCTCAGCCCGGGTCTAGGGTCAGACTTGTCGCAGGGCAGGCGGACCCCGAGCCTGGATCCATCGTGGGAGCCCTGGCCGGGCCGTTGATCTCCTGGTAGGAGGGGTGAAGAGAGCACCTACGGATCCGCCAGCTTCTGCAAACTTCCTGCCCAGCCCGAGCGCCCTATCCGCCGGGCGCTCGTTAGCGGCTCGCAGAGTTGGTACCGCGCGAGAGCGGGTGGCCTCGCCTGCCGGGGATGGGCTAGCTCCGCCCACGCGGACACCGGGATGGAGCCGGGAGCCCCCGGACTCTGGGCTCCTCGGTCCCTGCCAGCCCCGCCCGGGTATCCGACCCTCAATCGGAACAAGGCGTCCGCAGAGCCACGCCCTCGGGCACCACCCAGCAGACGTGGGCGGCCCTGGGGCTGCCCTGAGCCCGGGATCGAGGGATATAATGAGATGCTAATGAGGCACGAATAAAGCCTCGCGGGCCCCGAGCCCGGCGCCGAGGTCCACACCCCGCCGAACTCCCCGGCCGGGCGCTGCCGGTGCGCCACCCCGGCTCCGCCGCTTTCCCTCTGCGTCTCCTTCACCGCCCCTTCGTCCGCCCCCGCCTTCCCCCACCCGCCCAGTCGGAGACGCCCGCCGGGCAGGAAGCGGCCCCTCCCCGCTCGCCGGAGGCCGGGTAAGTAATCCAGCGGCGCCAGCTGCGCGCCCCCTGCCCGCCCGGGCCGGGGGTGGGGGCGGGGGCTCGCTTCCGGGGAAACGCCGTCCCGGGCCCTCGGGAACTCCTCCTAGCGGGTCCGGTCCGTCTCCCCTCGCCCCCGCCCTGCTCAGCCCCTCTCCAGACTTTCCCGTCCAGAGCGGGGATGTCCACCCCCCGCCCCACTCACCCCGGTGCCAGTGGTCCAGCTCCCTCTCCATCTTTCCACACTGCTCTCCGCCCCCCACCCACCCCGCACATTCTTTGTCCTGGCCTTTCCAGGCTGAGTCGCCCCTCTACCCCTTCTCTGAGATCTTCTTCCTTCCATTCCCCCGAACCCTCAAGAGAGACCTTTGCCCTTCCTGATGTTCCGGCTGCCCGCATCCAGGTGACCCGCAGCGGGTAACTTTAGTCTCCTCCTCGCTCGGCCTGGCCCGCTGGGCTCCAGCCGGGACCGGTGGTAGGGTGGCCGAGTGCGCGCGGGGGTCAGGTCCAAGGACCTGTCCCCATCGATGCCACCTAATTACCACCCCCGTGGGCAACCCCGACCTCCGCACCCTCTTATTTCTCCCAGGCCCAACGTGAGAAGGCCCCCCCTCGACACCCCTCAAGTTGCGTGGGGGCTCGAGCGAGGGAGAGGGGCACAAAGGGAGGCCTTGTCTCGGGAGATTCCTGGGAGAGCGCGACCCGGCGCCCGGGGGCTGGGGCGGGGCGTCGCTGCGAGTGGGAGGAAGCCGGGGGGGGGGGGGGAGCGAACCCCGGTTGTCGTCCCCCCGACCGCTCTCGAGGCCCACCGGAGCAGCCGCCAGTCACAGGGGAAGTGTTCTGACCACAGTGAGTCAGAAATAGACCCAGTCCTCCGTCACCTCAGGCAGTCGCAACATCCTCGGGTTGTTTGTTGAGGCGGTTTGGGTGGTGGGAACCGGAACCTAGGGAGTTAGTGACGGTCTCCTCCTCCTCAGGAGGCAATCACGGGTGCTGGGGAGGACAGCTTTGCTCCTGGCATGAGACACACGCCACGCTCAGCGTGGCACTGGGGTCCTCGAGGGGTGCCCGCTCGGGGAGGTGTGGAGGGAGAGCGGACAGCAGCTGCGACTGCGGGTATATTAGGTCTGTCTCAGTCTGCCCTGCAAGGAAAACTCTCCTCCCGGCTGCCTGCCCTCTCCACGTCTGAGATATTCTGCCATGCCCAGCTTCCGGGGTCCCATCAAGGCAGGGTCGGAATTCCTGCGCCCAGTGCCCCAGAGATGGAGGGGAGCTTGGAGCTCCCTGGACAGGAAAGCTGAGCTGGAGACTCCCTGTCTTCCCTCCTGCCCGCTGTGCCCAGGACTGCTGGTTTTTCACTTCCAAATTTGGCAAATTTCACTTGGAGTGGAAGGAAGAGTAGTTGTCTCTGGAGCAGACTGGGAGTGGGCTGGGGGAGAGCAGAGAGCAGAGCCGATCAGGGGTGGACCCAGAGCCCCCCGGGGACACCAGCCTGCTTTCTTCTCCTCCCCATCCTTTTCCTTTCTTCCTTTCTCCAGCCTCCTCCCCTTCTCTTCCCTCCTCCTCTGCAGCAGCTGCAGGCCTCTGCTGGGGTGCTCCCTCCCTGGGAGCCTCAGCCGCCTCCATGGCTTCACCCACCTCCACCAACCCAGCGCATGCCCACTTTGAGAGCTTCCTGCAGGCCCAGCTGTGCCAGGATGTGCTGAGCAGCTTCCAGGGGCTATGCGAGGCCCTGGGGCTAGAGCCCGGTGGGGGGCTACCCCAGTACCACAAGATCAAGGCCCAGCTCAACTACTGGAGTGCCAAGTCGCTGTGGGCCAAGCTGGACAAGCGAGCAGGCCAGCCCGTCTACCAGCAGGGCCGGGCCTGCACCAACACCAAGGTGGACACATGCTGCCTGGGAAGGGGCTTGGACGGCTGGGGGGGAGTCAGAGGAGGGAGACGGGATGCCATGCCCATACTGCCTTGTGTGTTCGCAGTGCCTGGTGGTGGGTGCGGGACCTTGTGGGCTGCGGGCTGCTGTGGAGCTGGCCCTGCTGGGGGCCCGTGTGGTGCTGGTGGAGAAGCGCACCAAGTTCTCTCGCCACAACGTGCTGCACCTCTGGCCCTTCACCATCCACGACCTTAGGGCACTCGGCGCCAAGAAGTTCTATGGGCGCTTCTGCACAGGCACCCTGGACCACATCAGTGAGCACCACGTGGTGGCCTAGAGGGGCGGGTGAGCCTGGGCCTACAGACAGGCCAGTGGGGGGCTGCTGGGACCACCAAGAGGCAGAGTAGACAAGATTCACTTCAGCCAGGTGACCTGCAGGACTCAGGTTCCTCATCTGTAAAATGGGCAGTGGAACCGAATGATCTCTAAGACCTCTTCCAGCTCTGACCGGGAGCCCACTGGTGCTTGGGGGCCCTGTGTGGCCCTGGGGCCCCTGTTCCTAATCTCCTCTCCCTTCCAGGCATCCGGCAGCTTCAGCTGCTTTTGTTGAAAGTGGCATTACTGCTCGGGGTGGAAATTCACTGGGGTGTCACTTTCACCGGCCTCCAGCCCCCTCCCAAAAAGGGTAAGTACCTCTCTGCTCCCCAGACTCCCATCCGCCAAGGATATCTTGGCCTGTGGAAGAAAAAGGGTGGGATTGGGAGTCAACTGAGTCACCCTTTGCCATAGTGTGGCCTTGTGCAAACCACACTGAGCCTCATTTTGAGCATCTGTAAAATATGTCCTTCCTTTCCTACTTTCCACAGCTGTTGTGAAGGCGTAAGTTGATAGACAATGTGTCATTGCTTGCTAAACTGTCAACTGCAAAGGGCTTTACGCATTTGTTTCCCTGGCTTGTCCTGGGAATGTAGGGGCCCCTTTAGACATCCACACCTTTGTGCCTCTCACAACTTCTGCCCCAGGTAGTGGCTGGCGTGCCCAGCTCCAGCCCAGCCCCCCAGCCCAACTGGCCAACTATGAATTTGATGTTCTCATCTCTGCTGCAGGAGGTAAATTCGTCCCTGAAGGTGAGTGATCCCTTCCTTCAAAGAAGCCAGCATCTTAGGCTCCTGCGCCTTTCTAGGCTGTTATGCCCCTCATTCTCTTGCCGATACCTACCTACCCTCACTTGCCCACACTTCTAGGCTTCACAGTGCGAGAAATGCGTGGCAAACTGGCCATTGGCATCACGGTCAACTTTGTAAATGGACGCACAGTGGAAGAGACGCAGGTGCCCGAGATCAGCGGCGTGGCCAGGATCTACAACCAGAGCTTCTTCCAGAGTCTGCTCAAAGCCACAGGTCGGGACACCCTCTCACAGGGTCTCCCCTCCCTCCAGCTGACTGTGGGCTGGTTCCTCCCTCTCCCTCCTGGGCCCGGGACAGAGGGCCCATTGTGCCACTCCTGGGCCCCTGTGTAGGGGGCACCCACCACAGTCTAAGCTGTGACCCCGGCTCTCAGAGGTCAGGCACGGCTGGGTGTTTGGAGAGGTGACACAGAATGAGGAGGAGACACATCTCTCCCCCGGTGTTGTCCCCGCAGGCATTGATCTGGAGAATATCGTGTACTATAAGGATGACACCCACTACTTTGTGATGACAGCCAAGAAGCAGTGCCTGCTGCGGCTGGGGGTGCTGCGTCAGGTGGGGCCCGGGCCCGGGCAGGGAGGGGCTGGGCGGTGGGCCCTGCGAGGTGGAGGCCAGCCCTGGACACAGTGTCTCCCTCTGGTGTGGAGGGGAGCCTGTCCTCTTCTGCCGTTGCCCTGACATTTTCTCCACCTCAGCAAGCCCTTCTCTCCTGGGGTTTACAGGACAACCTGAATCATATTCTGGGCTAAACACCTGATACCAGCCACAGAGTTACATATGTAAACTCCATGAGGGCAGGGGTTTTGTCTCTTTGCCCTTTTTGCTTGCTGAAGATTCCCTGGGCCTAGAATGGTACCTGGTGTGTAGTCAGCACCCGGTAAATATTTGCTGAATGAACTAGTTGAAAACCTACTATGTGCTAGGTATTGTGATGAAAACTTTATGTGCATTTTCTTACCTAAATTCTCATGAATACGAGGAGTTAGGTATGTCATCTCTAAATGATGGGGAAACTGAGGCTGAGAAGTTCAGGTCTGGTCCAAAACAAGTGCACAGTAACAGTAATGGAACTGGGCCTGGGGGGCGGGTGGGGGGCGGGGAGCCCCAGCAGCAGGGGCAGTGCTGAGGAAGCGGCTGGAGAATGGGAGGCAGGATGTTCAGATTCTAGTCCAGTCCACTTACCCTGCTGGTTCTGCTCTGTTGGCCTGTAGGACTGGCCGGAGATTGACCGGCTGTTGGGCAGTGCCAATGTGGTGCCCGAGGCTCTGCAGCGCTTCGTCCGGGCAGCTGCTGACTTCGCCACCCATGGCAAGCTTGGGAAGCTGGAGTTTGCCCGGGATGCCCACGGGCGGCCTGACATCTCTGCCTTTGACTTCACAAGCATGATGCGGGCAGAGAGTTCTGCTCGAGTGCAGGAGAAGCACGGCGCCCGCCTGCTGCTGGGGCTGGTGGGGGACTGCCTGGTGGAGGTGAGGGGACCAGGGCTCCCTGATTGGGAGGGGGAAGAGATTGAGCTTCCTGGGGCTTCCAGAAACGGGAACTCCTTGTAAAGAGGTGCAGGGGTTCCATGGTTGGGGGGAGGAAGGTTGCCTCCTGGGAAGGAGGGGGTGAAAAGGTTTGCTGGTTGTGGGGAGGAGCTGAGGGCTGCTCGGTGTGGTGTGGGGCCCCCCTCAGCTATGATTTTGGGGGCATCAGGTCTTGGGCACTCCTGTTGGACTCTCACTGAACTGTTTCCTATCTTTTTGAGCCTGCAGCCCTTCTGGCCCCTGGGCACTGGAGTGGCTCGGGGCTTCTTGGCAGCCTTTGATGCCGCCTGGATGGTGAAGCGGTGGGCAGAGGGTGCTGGGCCCCTAGAAGTGTTGGCAGAGCGGTGAGGCCTGAGTTGGGGGGTGGGGAGGGCAGGGCTGGAAATAGAACAAGGATCAGCAAGAGGGTGGGGGGTTCTGGGTGAATAGATGGGGGGCACAGGCGAGAGAATAAAGAAAGGCCTGGCAGTTCTCGGGTGGGTGCTGATGGGTGCCCTCCCACACGAGCCTCTGCCCTCGCACTTATTCCTTCAGGGAGAGCTTGTACCAGCTCCTCTCACAGACATCCCCGGAAAACATGCACCGCAACGTGGCGCAGTACGGGCTGGACCCAGCCACCCGCTACCCCACCCTCAACCTCCGGGCGGTGACTCCCACTCAGGTCAGACCCCCTGGCACCCACCAGACTCCCCAGGGCAGGCCCCTACCCCTGGGCTGAGGCAGGTGGTCAGCCTGCCTGGAGACCTGAAAGGGGCTGCCTTAGGTACGAGACCTGTATGACGTGGCAGCCAAGGAGCCTGTGAGGAGGAACAGCGACAAGATAGACGCAGGAATTCCAGCCATGGGTGAGCAAGCCTTCCTCGGCGGGGGGTGGGGGAGTCGTCCAAAATATTCGCCACCCAGTGTGGTGCCAGCACCAGCCACCAGCACGGCGGCAGCCCCCGGCTGGAGGGTGGATGGTGGGCAAGTCCAGGGCCTCCAGGAGGTGCAGGGGCAGCGGAGCGCTGAGCAGGGCCCATCTGTGCGCCAGATGTGTGTCGCCACACCCCCTCCAGAGCCCTCCCAGCCTTGCAGACCCCAGACCCGCCCTCCCTTTGGGCCTCCAAGCCTCCCTCGTCCCTTGGTTCACAGCCTCCTGCCCTCTCTGTGGTTAGCAGTGATACCACTTGACTCGTTCGTCCACTTTATTCCAGAAAGAGACAATTGGGATGAAGGCAGTGCTGCTCAGTGAGCACTGAGTTGGTGCCCCTGTAGGGATGGGCCCTGCCTCCCCCCCCCGCCCCTCCCAGACTGAGCCCCGGGCACCAGGCATGCTTGGAGCCAGGGCCCTGGGGTGCAGCACAGCCTCCTCTCTCGGGGCCGGCAGGCAGCCAGGAGTTGTTGCGCTGGTGCCAGGAGCAGACCGCTGGGTACCCGGGCGTCCACGTCACCGACCTGTCCTCCTCCTGGGCTGACGGGCGGGCTCTGTGCGCCCTGCTGCAGCGCCTGCGGCCCGGCCTGCTGTGAGTTCAGATTAGGCTCAGCGGTCCCTGGCAGACCACACCTCTCTCATGCCTCAGCCCCCTCCCCCCACCTCAGACAGCGGGGACTGGGGCTGGGGTGGGGGGGCAGTGTAGGGGTCACCCCCTGTCGAGGGCGCCAGTGCCATCACTTACTGGTAGTCTTTGTGCCCAAGTCACTGCCCCTCCCTGAGTCTTGTGGGAGTCAGATGCATTCAGTAGGGAGCCCCCCAAGGCCAGAAAGTTGTCAGTGGGCGGGTGGGGAGCTGGGGGGGGGTTGTATAGCAAAGAATAAACTCCTCATGCCCTGTCTTCCCTTGGGCCCCACCAGCCGCTGCCCGCTGCTCACTCCCCCTCCTCTCCCCCTTCAGTGGGGTCAGGTGCTGGTCTTGCATTGGCTTTTCTCCCCGACATCCCACAGGGAACCCTCAGAGCTGCAAGGACTGGGGGCCCTAGAAGCCACTGCTTGGGCGCTAAAGATGGCGGAGCATGAGCTGGGCATCACGCCCATGCTGTCCGCAAAGGCAGTGGTGGCAGGGAGCGACCCCCTGGGCCTCATCGCATACCTCAGCCACTTCCACAGCACCTTCAAGAACATGCCCCACAACCCAGGTGGCCTAGAGGGTAGGTGCGGGGGAGGGACAGCTGGGAGTATCACCCTGGGCTGTGCCGTGGCTGCCTGTTCAGGACGTACAGCACTGATTTGCCACCCACCTGGACAACCCCCCCCTTCCACAGGCCCTGCCAGCCAAGGCTTTCCCGGGACCCCCAGTGCTGTGCTATTCCTTGGCAAACTGCAGAGGACCCTGCAACGGACCCGGGCCCAGGTGGTGAGTCTGGGCAGTGGGGGTCCCTGGGGTGATGGGGAGGACATTCCTAATGGGGGTAGTGCTGTAGCTCAAAGCCCCATGCTGAGTGTAGGACTTGTTGCAGGAAAATGGGGAGGATACTGGTGGCAAGAAGCTGCGCCTGGAGGTAAATGCATGTAGGGCTGCAGAGTCTCCTGCTCTTTCCTGCATCCTGTAACCGCCTCCCGCCCACCCATCCAGGTTCCCTTCCTGGCTCACTTCTTTCAGATCTTTTTGTTCTCCACACATAGCCACTCTCTGGCCCCTCCTGCTCCTCCACCTCCCTCCCTGAACACTTACCTCCATAGGTAGAGGCTAAGACCCCAAGTACTGAGGAGCCACCTGTCCCAGAGTCTGGTGTACCCCCGACACCCCCATCCCAACACCAGGAGGTGAGAAAGGGGGCCCTGTCTGCAGACAGAGGCTTGGGGAGGGCAAGAAGGGGTGTTTCAAGGATAAGGAAGATCTTTGCCACTGGCCTTGACTCCAGCTGACCCTGTGGTCTGGGGGTCGGTGCAGGCTGGTGCCGGGGACCTGTGTGCACTCTGTGGGGAACACCTCTATATCCTGGAACGCTTCTGTGCCGATGGCCGTTTCTTTCACCGGAGCTGCTTCCGCTGCCACACCTGTGAGGCCATGCTGCGGCCGGGTGGCTATGGGCAGCACCCAGGAGACGGTAAGCGGGCCTTGCCCTGTCTGGGGACAAGGAACTTGAAACTGGAGGGAAACGGGTCCTGGGCACAAGGCGGCAACAGGCTCAAGATGGCACTTCCTTGCCCTGAGTTCAAGGTCTTCTCTGTCCCCTCCAAATCCCCAAATGTGGGGTTCTAAGGAACCCGGAGGCCAACAGAAATTCACCTGCCAATCAAGTCCTGTCACCTCTGCCCTCGCTGATAAACGGAGTATATGGGCATTGGGCTGCCTACAGCTCATGTCTTCTCCCCTCCTCCACCCTTCCCAGGACATTTCTACTGCCTCCAGCACCTGCCCCAGACAGGTCCCAAAGAGGATGGCACTGACCCCTGCCCTGAGAGTCAGGTAAAAACTATGAAACTGTGTGTTGGGGTGTGGGAAAGAGTAAAGGGGTCTCTCCAAGCCCAGCAGACTTTGCTGGGGGGTAACAATGCTCTCCTTTAGAAGGAAAGCTCCATGAAGGCAGAGATTTTTCTTACTGATGTATCTCAAGTGTCTCGAACACTGCCTAACACTGTTCAGTAAACAGCATCAGTGAATGAATACATGGGTGAATACAGGGTCCACATTTGTCTAAAGGGGCAGCCTCGGCCCCACAATGGGCAGGTGACTGACCAGACTACATGGTGGCTTTTCTAGGACGTCCCCACACTGGATGAAAATAGCATGCCATTGGGGCCCTCAACTTCTGTCATCCCCCAGGAGGGGACCAGTCCTGTCCCAAACCCCAGCCAGCCTACCCGCCGGTTGATCCGCCTCTCCAGCCCAGAACGCCAGCGGCTGTCCTCCCTTAATCTGACCCCTGACCCAGAACTGGAGCCTCCACCCAAGCCTCCCCGCAGCTGCTCGGCCTTGGCCCTCCAGGCCCTGGAGGGCAGCTTTGTAGGTTGGGGAATGCCAGTCCAGAGCTCTCAAGGTACCTGCTTTGCCCAGATGTGCTCACCCAGGGTGGGGATGCAATGGGTGGTACTGGGATTCCTGAAAAGGGGAATGCTGGGGAATGGAAAGGGAGGCCGTGGGACCCAGACCATGCCTACTCCTCTGTTCAGTTGTGGCCATGGAGGAGGAGCAGGAACAGAGTTCCTCCTCCAGTGAGGAGGAAAAGGAAGCAGAGGAAACCGTGACTTTGAACTCAGACACGGAGGAGGTGAGAAGGAACCTGGCCACCTATCCCGCTGAAGCCAGCACACATGCTCTAAATATGCTTCACTGCCCATCACAGGAAGAACCTATAGAATGCTCCCTCCTTTGAGCCAGTCTCTCAGAATGTCTTCTCACCCAATCTGACTCAGGTCTCTAAGTCTCTGTCTCTTCTACCAGAACTTACCCTATCTCCAGCCCAGGAAGCTTTGACCCCCTCCAAACAGAGCTTCCCCAGTCCCTATCCAACCGCGGGGGCGGGGGGGGGGGGGGCGGGCAAGAAGCAGGGCAGGGCCTACCTCTGACTGGCCCGACCCTGCCGTAGGGACTGCTGACCTTGGCCAAGAACTCAGGCACCATGAGCAAGTACCCAACATGGCGTCGGACTCTGCTGCGCCACGCTAGGGAGGAGGAGATGAAGCGGTTCTGCAAGGCCCAGGTTAGGTCTACAGGTTCGCGGTTCTGGTGGGGTCAGAGTTCTGACGCGAGACTGGAGTTTCTCCGGAGCTCTGTACTTGAGCAGTCCGGAGACACCTGGGCCTTCTGTCTTGTGTCCCTCAGGCTGTCCAGCGGCGACTAAATGAAATTGAGACGGCTCTAGGGGAGCTGGAGGCTGAGGGCATGAAGGTGGAGCTGGCCTTGAGAAGCCAGAGCAGTGAGTAAAGACAGGACGGACAAGCTAGGACATCCCTCTGCCTCCCAGCACTCCCTCAAACCACCAGACTCTGTCCCCAGCAGGCTCCACTCTTCATGCTCCTGACACCTCTGACTCCCCTCCCCCATTCCTCCTTCCCGTCAGGACCCCCAGAACAGCACAAGGCCCTGGGGCTGGAACAGCTGCTCCAGCTCGTTCAGAAGAAAAACAGCCTACTGGCGGAGGAGGCTGAGCTCATGCTCACGTAAGGGGCAGGGGGTGGTGACGGTTGGCACCGGAGCCAGACCCCAGCTGGGTCCTTGGGCACCCTGGACAGCTGTGCCTCTTCAATCCCTGCCCTCCACAGGGTGAAAGAGCTGAACCTGCAGGAGGAACAGTGGCAGCTGGACCAGGAGCTACGAAGCTACATGAACCAGGAAGGTAGGTGGCACATACACACAGCCTCACGACCTCAGGTACTGACCAAGAAGCATGGTCCTCTAGTCCGAGTGCCTCTGAGGCATTTCAGGAGGAAGCCAGAGAATGGGGCTCCAAGCCCCTCCCCTGCCTTCAGTTCAGTCAGAGCTGCACAGCTGGGCTTTTACGTTAAGATTACTTACTTTAAAAATGGTGCTGCTGCTGGGGCGCCTGGCTGGCTCAGCTGGAAGTGTGTGTGACTCTTGATCTCAAGGTCATGAGTTCAAGGCCCATGTTGGGCATAGAAATTACACATATATCGTATGTGTTATCAATCTAGACTTAAAATAAAAATGGTGCCGCTGAACAGTGCTAGCAAACCACTGGTGTGGACAGACCCAATTTTACAGATGAGGAAACAAGGCCCAAATTGTGGAAGTCACAGAGGCTGGGATTAAGCTGTGCCTTTCCTGCCTCCCTGCCCAAGTCCCTGTTCTCTAAGCTTTTGTTGTCTTCTTCAGGAGCCCTAAAGACCCCTGCTGATCGGCAGGCTGAGGACCAGCTCCTGAAGAAGCTGATAAATGTGGTGAACCAGCGAGATGAACTTATCCGCTTCCAGGAGGAACGCAGGCTCAGTGAGCTGGCCTTGGAGCCGGGGGCCCAGGGCTAAAAGAGGACAGGCTGCCTGCCCTCTAAGATCCCTACACGGAAAACCACCTCACCCCAGGACTGTGCTCCCCTGCTCATCTGGGAGGAGGCCTCACTGTTTACAATAAAAATGTTTCTGCCACAGACAGGGCTTAGGCTGCCTGCAGGTGGGAGGCAGGGTGTGCAGGGAGGGTAGACATGTAGGAGCTTAACCATCTATATTATGACAGTCACAATGACCCTTGGCCCCAATCACTGCCTCTACAAGGAAAAGGCAGAGCCACAAAAGTGTCAAGTTTTATTGTTCCTCAGTTCCATCCCCCTCCTGCTGCCCCAGGAGCAGGGCTGGCTGAGACTCTAGGCCCAGATCCTGGGCCTCCCTTGCCCTTCCCAGCACATGCTGGAGCTCAGCCCGAGCCCCAGATAAGCCCTTGGCCTCCTGCATGTGGAAGATGTAGACTGCCCCCGCTCCCAGCAGCAGTCCTACACTGGGAGTCCAGAGTAGTATGGCAACCTCCCTCACCCCTCCTCCAGCTGCCAAGGCGCACAGCAAGGCCAGGAGAAGCAGCCCTAGACCAATCACGTAGCCGGCGAAAGTGGTCCACCAGCGAGCTTGAGCCACGCCCAGGTCCAGCTCTATCCAGGCCTCCTTTAATATACTGACCAACCGTGACCTTTCTGCTAGTCCTAGAATAAAGCAGGGCAGTGGGGCAGGAGAGAGTGGGTCAGAGTGGAGGGGCTGACTTGTGGTGGGGAGGGACCCCGGGAAAGGGTGACTTACCATGAGTAGGGCTAGGGGTGTGCTGGGGGGGGATGTGTCTCACACACAGAGTAGCCATCAGGGCCTCATGATCAGAGAGGGGGGTGCCACTGTGAGGGTCGCGGCCTGTAGTGGTTCTAAGAGTCTTACAGGAGATGTAAAAGCCAGAAACCGCCTAGGAAAAGTCAGGGCCAGAGAGAAACATCTTTGAGGGCCTCTTCCCATTCTCCAGCCATCAGTGACTAGACTAGACTAGCTGGACTAGACTAGCTGGACTAGACTAGCTGGACGAAAGATGAGCACAAGCTGGTGAAAGACAGAGACATGGTGGGTGAAGACACACTGAGGGAACAAGCCTGACCTTATACAGCACATAGTCAATGCGGATGCCAAATGGAAATGGCTCTAGCTCCCGCTGGTTGACGTAGCAGTTCTCAGGTAGCATGGTACAGCCTTCTTCCGAGCCCTAAGTGAATAGATGGTTCATGCTAGGATGTAGGGGAGAGAAAGGAGAGAAGCTGAAGGTGTAGGAATGGAAATAATCAGGCGGGTTCTCACCTTGAAATCCTGGGTCTCAAGGTAGGCATCATGCAGCCCTGTCCACTCCTTCAGCAGGCGGCAGCCCAGGTCCTTCGGGTGCAAGTTGAGGTCCCCACACAACAGAACCACATCGGCCTTCTTGGATGTGTGGCTGGGGGCACCAGGTTGGTGAGGCAGGAGTTCTTCCCTGACCGGCTCTGCCCTCCTTTAAGTGGCGCCCTGACCACCCCTCAACCCCTGGCCCATCCCACTTCCCTTGCCAAGCCCAGGCTCACACACTGGATGAACTGGGCCAGTTCCCAAGCTTGGGCCACACGATGTGTTAGGTAGATGTCCTTTTGTCGATTGTACTCGGCATGGAGCTGAGCGAGACAAGTGAGGTTACAGCAGATGAGACTGAGGGTTCCTACCTGAGGGTCTAAATCATGCTTGTGTCTGTCACTTGGCATGATACTTGGTTAAAAAATGGGCAAACCTTGCCGAGTAACCTTAGGAGATCCTGGCCCCAAGTTCACCCTCAGGCAGCCCAACTAGAGGAGCCCCACCTCTCCCTCCCAGAACCAGGCTGCCTATCCCAGCCCTGCCAGCTTCACTCACGTGGGTCACATAGACATTGAGCACCAGTCCACTTAGATGGAGCACCAGCAGCCCCACAGCCTTCCCACAGAACCAGTCTCCATGATGGATCTGCAGGCAGGAGGGAGCAGGAACTCAGGGCGTGGCTACCCTCTTTCTGCCCACCCCCTGCAGCCCAGGGAAGGCTGCCTCCTTTACCATGTGTTACTGGGGGGTGGGAAGGGGAGGCAGAAGAAATCTGACATAAGGCTTACCATGTAGGGGTACCCATTGAGGGTATAGACGTGCTGGGTGAATTCCTGGATAGGATGTTTGGAGAAGACGCAGAGACCACTGCCAATGACACCACTGCAAACCAAGTCCTGATTAATAGCCAGAAAAGTAGGAAGAGAAATACCCAGCCTTCCCCTCACTCCTCTCCCAGCTGTATCAGCTACTTTTTATCTCAGTTTGTTGCTGAGATCAGCACCAGAGCAAAGCTCAAAGCAACAGTCTTTGTGGGACGACAGAGTGACTTGATAAGGCTGGGATGGGCTCAAGAGCGAGAATCTTCCCGGTTCCACCTACTCTTGCACCCACACCCAGAGGAGAGGGCTCTGGGAGAGAGGAAGGAGGATGCAGGCAGGACAGGGAAGGGCTGGTAGGACCGAAAGCTTCCTGATCTGAGAACAGGCTTCCAGACGGGTTAGGTAGGCTTCTCACCTACTGAAATAGTGTGCAGCTGGGTAGGTGGGCAACAGCTTCTGTCTCAGGTACTGGAAGTCCTGCTCACTCCACACCTGAAGGAAGAGGTGAGGATGCTTGCCTGCCCGCCCCCGGGAAACGTCCCCTCCTGAGCCACCAGCCGCCGCCCACCCCGTCCCAGTCACGGTTCCACACCAGTTCCACACTGCCCACCTCCTCCAGCAGAGCTAGGTCGAAGCTCTCCATGTTCAGAAAGTCTCCTAGGCGCTTCATGCGGTCGCCCCGGTGCTTGCTCAGGTAGGGAATGGCCCTGAGGACGAGAAGGGCCAGGCAAAGTGGTGGCTGGAGGCACTGCGCTCTCCATGCACCGCAGGAGCTGGGGCCGGTGTGGGCCTGGAGGTGCGGGTGCCCCCCGCCGCCGGAGACTGGAGGACAGGGTAGAGCCGTGGCCCGGATGTGAGGGAGGCTTCCCTCTCCTGGCTGTGGGTGCGAAGGGAGCTGTGGCCCCGGACCCACCCCGCGGGCGCTCTCACCAGCAGTTGAGGTTAAAGATCCTCAGTCGCAGAGAGAAGGTGGGCTTCATGGCGAGCGCGCTCCGCAGGCGTGGGACAACACTACCTCCCCGGCGACTGCTGCGGCTGGAAGCGTGCGGACCGGCGGCGCCTCCTCCCGGGGCCGTGCGCACAGGTGGTCGGCCCCGCCCTCGCGCTCCCCGGAAGGCCCCGGCCTCCCAGTCCGCTCGGCTCAGGCCCTGGGCGGGGTCAGACTCCGCGTTGCCCGGGCAACCAGCCCACTGCCCCCCTCCTCCTCGCACCCCCCCCCGCAACTGGCTGCCCGCCAACCCGGAAAGGCGATCTACTGCGAAATCTGGTGCTGCCGGGAGGCGAGGGCCGCGCGCGCCGTTCCTGTAGGGGGGATACCAGAGGGGGTTCGGGTGGGCTGCCAGCCGGGCCGAGGCACGCAGGGCTTCGGCGGAGCTCCCCGTTCTTTTTCGCAGAAGCTCCGTCCCCCGGCCACGGCCGCCCGCGCGCCCTCTCCCGCCTCTCGCCGGGCTCACCAGCAACAGGCGCAAAGTTGAGAGCAGACCCGGCCGTCGCCGCCGGCCAACTCACGTCCTTCCTCCCAGCTGGAGACGGGGGCGGAGCCGCGCGGTTGCCCCGGCGACGCGCAGTGTTTGTGCTCCGAGCAGTCCCCCAGCGCCGCCATGGCGAGCCCGAAGCCGTGTCGGCCAAGGTCGGCCCGGTGCCGCTCGCAGTCGCCGCCCGAGCAGCCGCTGCAGGTGAAGGTGGTGGGGCTCTTCAAAAGCTCCAGCTTTCAGATTGCGAAGAGCGCTGCTGAGGTAACCGCGAGAAAACGACACGTGCGGGTGGCCCTTCAGGTTTCCCGGTCTCGCGCCTCCTGTTGACAGGGGTCGATGTTCCGGGAGGTGGGGATGTGTCCCGTCCAGGCAGGCTCAGTCTGTACCTCCCAGGGGGCAGGGTCGGGTCGGCTGGACGTTCAACTTCGAGAAGGGCGACCTTTAAAGGGGGATCGGAGCGAAGGAAAAGTTCAGAACCTTGCTGGGTGAGGGAGGGTAATTCCCCCCTCTAGATATCCACATATTTTATTTCCACAATTTTTACTTGCGTTATGGATTTTAAAAATTCATGAAAAAATATTTAGGAAGAAGTGATACCGTGTAACTACTGATTTTTGTTTCTTTTTACGAATTACCTCAAGTGATTTTTGGAAACTTCATTCGGGAAGTTTTTTGGGTTCTCCTCCTTTAAATTTTCTCTAGCATTTACTGCATTCCAGTCGAATTAGGTGCTTAAGGGATTCTCAACAAATGACCCACAAGTGCTTTGGAGAATCCAGATATTTTTTTGTAAACACACGGAACGCTATAAAAGGAAAAACACTTTAAGCAACTGGAAGAACTTGGCCAGCTCCGCCGCGGTACAGCACACATACTACCCAAATGCAGGAGAAATGTAGAATTCAGCACATCTTTGGCGTTTGCTCCGGGAATGCTACTGTTAAGATTATGCCAAAATTCTCTCCTTCAAAACCCCACCAGACTCTGGGACCATGCCCTGTCCATGTTTGTGTACCCCAAAGTATCCAGCTGGATACCTGACACAAAATGTTCTCAAATAGAAGAAATCTTAAGCAATTCCTGCCGGCTCGAAGTCCGCAGAGTTAAAGAAAAGTATGTAATTATATCAAGAAATAAACTGTCGACCTTAAAAGTAAAACAGTTATTTTACCAGCAAAATGCGTTTATTTGATACTAGCACAGGAATAGCAGTTTGGGACACAGAAGCTATGGCAAACCAAAGGCAATCTGGGAGATCACAAATGACAGGTACATTGTAGAGAAAAGGAGGAAGCTGGGAGGGGCTGCTCTGAAGAAAACTCCACTGATAGAAATGAGAGAGTTCAGGGTGGTGAAAGTCTCACCGGCTGATTATCGTATTGGCTGTGCTTGTTGCTTAGCAAGGAGACATTCTCCTTTCCTTCTGCTGGAGGAGTAAAATAGACTTACTCCTGTTGGGAATACAAGGTTTGTCTCTTCCTGACCTGCTGGGGTCTGCGATTGAGGAG